GGATGAGGAGCAAAAATACCTAGGAAATGTATTTTGGTTGTCTGAATTACCAAATATTTCCTTCATCAACCATTATATCACAACAGGTGTCCCCACATACCCAAAATGCCTGCAGGAGGAGGCACAGAGCTCCCCACTTCCACCATAATTTCCTTCCTACTCGTGACATTGATCTGCACCAAAGACGATCCCTTTCAGGAGGATACAGTCAAGGCTTCCGGCATAATGCCAAGGCTGAGGAGGCCCTCCTCCCCAGGGACATGGGGCAGAGAGATGGGAGAAATGGCCTCAGGAGTCTGTTTTCCTGTAAGCCGCTCTCCACTCCCCCAGCCTCAGCTGTCACCTCACCACCCAGCCTGACACACAGGGGCCTGCGAAGAACAAAATCCTGGAGTCCGAGCAGCTGAATAGCTGTCGTCTGCACTCAGCTTTGCAATGCGAGGGGTTCCACTCCTCTCGGGGTTCAGATTGGAAAAACCCGACAGGGAAGAGGAAGTGGCCCAGCGACTCCCCATTGCCATGTCGAACAGGGCAGTACAAGCTCCACTTCCGCCAGAGATGCTTCCTGGCTGTCTGAGCACTTGCAAGGCAGCACGATAGGGTGTAGTTAAGGGGGAAATTTTCCAAATCTATAATTTTAATTTCCTGAGTATGAGTAGACTTTCTGCTGCTATGACTACACTGGAGCACAAAGAATGTCTAAGCAGCAGGTTCCACTTCTGAGTGACAGCACCCACGTTAACCATTCACTGCTGCCTCTGGTGACCAAGATGAGAACTAGCTGGATGTTACTAGGAAGTTTTGACTGTCAAACAAAAGTCCAAGTTTTTGAGACACCCTCTCAATCCACTCTCTGCATTCGCAGTGAGACAGAGCAGAGAAATGGGACGAGGGTCATGCCACTGTGAAATATACCCAGCCTAGAAAAATCCCACTTTATACTTTAACTTCATCTACATGCTGTTCTGCTTCTTCCAGCCCCCCTATCAATTAAGGAACCTTGTAACCAGGATGGGAGATAGACCCCCAAAGTGTAAGTGAACCTAGGGGGATAAAAAAATGCTGAGATCTGGATCAAGACAGTCCCCTGAATAACCCTACTCTGAAGACAAAACTTCAAAGGAATTAGGAATCACCTGTATGCAGCATGCCTTACACCCACAGCTACCCAAAAGGCCCTTAACTGCGCCTCCTCTCTCAGGTCACCTGCACTCCTGTCTGGGTGTGTACTGTCTGACAGTAAATGAACCTTCTTGTTGCACAAGCCAACTGGACTTGTCTTATCAACTCTTTACCCTAATCAAGACAAAAGCCCTGTGACCTCAACCTCCAGAGGTAAACATCTCTGTCACTTTGCTACTTTATTCAGCTTTCTAGTTTTACAAGCCTTTTCTCTCTCCCTGTTTTACTTAAGGCCAGTGGGGAAGGAGTAGTTCTTAGAACATAATCTCACTCCATTCAGGGCTCCATGGCTCCCCAAATTCTGGAATTGTAGGGATATAATTCTCACGCTGTGCAGATCAAGTGGACATCAGATGCAAGGTGATGGCATCTATCATCATTACCACAGCCATAGCCATAAAACTGGGAATAGCCCCATTCCACTTCTGAGTTCCAGAAGTAGCACAAGGAACCCTGCTGTCATAGGGCATACTACTATTAACTGGACAAAAAAATCACACCCATCTCAGTTCTATGTCAAATTTCACCCACAGTTAACATAAACTTGATGATACCTAGAGCAACACTCTCAATTTTAATTGGAGCAGGTCTAAACCAAACACAATTACAAAAAATTATAGCTTACTCCCCAATTGCCCACATAGGTTGAAAGACAGCATATAATCCAACTATTATTATTCTAAATCTCCTAATTTATATTATAATGACCCTATCAATATTCATAATGCTAGTATACAACTCAACAACAACAACCTTATCTTTGTCTCACCTATCAAACAAGACACTGCTAATTACAACCATTATGCTCACAATCCTAACTATACTTGGAGGCCTTCCACCATTAGCCAGATTTTTACCTAAATGACATTCAAGAACTTAGCAGAAACAAAATAATATTACCAATAATAGCAGTGATAGCTCTACTAAACTTATGTTTATATGCACTGACTTATTCCACAACACTAACAATATTCCCAATAACCAACAACATAAAAATGACAATTTGAAACTACAAAACACATAAAATTTGCGCCACCCATAATATTTCTATCCACAATAATACTTCCACTAATTCCAACCATATCAATTCTAAACTAGAAATTTAGGTTACACAGACCAAGACCCTTCAAAGCTCTAGGCAAGTATAAAACACTTAATTTCTGATCCTAAGGACTGTAAGACTCTATCCTACATCACGTGACTACAAATCAAACACTTTTATTAAGCTGAATCCTCACTAGATTGACAGGATACAAACCCGTGAAACTTTAGTTAACAGCTAAAAACCCTAATCAGCTGGCTTCAATCTACTTCTCCTGCCATAAAAGAAAAAAAAAGGTGGCAGGAGAAGTCCCAGAAGAACTGAAGCTGCTTCTCTGAATTTGCAGTTCAGTATTAAAACACCTCAGGACTTGGCAAGAAGAGGACTTTACCTCTATCATTAGATTTACAGCCTAGTACTTATTCAGCCGTCTTACCCATGTTCATCAGTCATTGATGATTTTCAACTAATCACAAAGACATCAGCACATTATACCTTTTTTGGCACTTGAGCTGTAATGGTGGGACCTGCTCTAAGCCTCCTTATGGTGCTGAACTAGGCCAGCCTGGGACCCTCTTAGGTGGTGATCACATCTATCATGTAAGTGTAACAGCACACAACTTTTTAATAATTTTCTTTATGGTGACAGCATTATAATTGGGGGGCTTTGGAAACTGACTAGTGCCTTTAATAATTAGTGCCCCAGACATAGCATTTCCCCATATAAATAACACAAGCTTTTGAATCCTTCCTCCCTCCTTTCTTCTTCTCCTAGCATCCTCTACAGTCAAAACAGGAGCTGGAATGGGTTTAACCATATAAATTACTTAGCAGGTAATTTAGCACATGGAAGGGCCTCAGTGGATTTAACTATTTTTTCTCCTCACTTGGCAGGTGTCTTATCAATTATAGGGGCTATTAACTTCATCACAACTATTAACAACATAAAACTTCCCACTATAAGCCAATATCAAACTTCACTATTTTTGTGATCAGTTCTAGGAGTTACAGCCATACTCCTACTACTGTCTCTACCCTGTTCTAGCTAATGGCATTACTATGCTTTTAACAGATCACAACCTAAATACATTTTTTGATTCTGCTGGGGGAGGGGATCCAATTTTATATTAAAACTTATTCTGATTTCTGGTCACCCCGAAGTATTTATTTTAATCCTTCCTGGCTTTGGAATCATCTCTCATATTGTAACCTACTATTCTGGGAAAAAAGAACCTTTTGGGTACATGGGCATAGTCTAGGCAATAATGTCAATTAGCTTTCTAGGCTTCCTTATATGAACATATGTATTTACAGTAGGCATAGACATTGATACACAAGCCTGTTTTACATCCGCCACTATAATTATTTCAATTCCAACAGGTGTGAAAGCATTCAGTTGATTAGCAACTCTGCACAGCAGAAATGTAAAATGATCCCCGGCCATAGAATGGGCCCTGAGCTTTATTTTCTTGTTTACAGTAGGGGGCTTAACTGGTATTGTACTACTTAATTCATCATTAGATATTGTTCTTCATGATACTATGTAGTAGAGCCCATTTTATTATGTGGTCTCCACAGGTGCAGTTTTTGCTATTATGGGGGGGATTTGTACATTGATTTCCTCTATTTTCAGGATATACCCTCAACCCTACATGAGCAAAGATTCACTTTACAATTATATTTGTGGGTGTTAATATAATTTTTCCCTCAACAATTTCTCAGATTTTCAGGAATACCACAACCCAATGTAATCTGGGTAACATTATTCAGATTACCCAGATGCTTACGTAACATGAAATACTGTGTCGTCCATAGGATCCTTTATTTCACTAAGTGCCATTATAATTTTTATAATCTGAGCTTTTGCTTTGCTTCTAAATGAGGTGCACATAGAACTAATACTGACCTTGAATGATTACACAGCTGCTCCCCACCTAAATATACTTTTGAGGAGCCTGCCTTTGTAAACTTAAGCAAACAAGGAAGGAATCAAACACCCAAAAGATGGTTTCAAACCAGTATCATAACCTCTTTCTCAATTATTGAAGTATTAGTAAAATTTGCATAACTTTATCAAAGTTAAATTATAGGTCTTAAGTCCTTTATACTTCCATGGCATGCCCCTTTCAACTCAGGCTAAGGCCTTGGGAGCCACAAGCCTAGAGGGAGAATGAACTCGATGCTACCTGACATTTACCCCAGGAAACTGACCCTCTGGCTGGGCTTCACGGGTATCAGGGTCTGTAAGTAACACCAAGGAGAGGAGGGCCAGGGGTTTATGTGTGCTGCAGGCCTCCTCATCTTCTCTGTCCCAACGCTACCCTCTGTTTTGATGGCACCATGGAACAAAATGTTAAATCCTATACTGTACTTCATTATTTATTAATTTTCTAATAGCATGTACCAGATTGAGTTGCATCAGCAAGCAGGAATGACCGCTTCACTAAGTAGCCTGCCTAGATGGCTGCAAGACAGAAACTACCCATTCCTACACCCACAGATGCATGTATATTAGAGCAGCCCGAGTTCACCTCCACAGAGTGCCAGAATACACGGTGTGTTTCTCCAACACCGACCCTTGTCAAAGGACAATTTTTGCTCTTAAGAAACTTTGCACCAAAATACATACAGTAAAATGCACAAATCAAAAAGTTCAATGAATTCTGACATAGGTACACATATCAATATCGCCTAGATCAAGATATCAAATAATCTCATTTTCTCACCCCTCACCTACTTCAAAGACATTTTTGCCAAGGAGGCATACAGATGCTCAATATCACTCACCATCAGGGAAATGCAAGACTAAGCCCTATGAGATGTCACGTCCCATCAGTCAGAATGTCCAAAATACAAGAGACAAAAAAAAATAACAGGTGTTGGCAAGGATGTGGAGACAACGGAATGCTGGTGGGACAATGGCTCCAAGTTGATGCAGCCACTGTGGAAAGCAGGAGGGAGGTTTCTCAGAGAACAGCTGTGCTCTCTCTGTCATGCTTTGGGATGAGGAAAGGCACTGAATGGTGGCTTTCTAAAGATGCTAAAAGGAATTACCTACCTGCCTCATGTGACCCTGGTGGTAGGGAACAGCAGATGTTTGCAGAAATGGATCAAGTAGAACTTTCATGAATTGACTTCAGAGAGATGAAGTTGTTCCCTGTGGAGACCTTATAGGAAAAACAAAAATGTCAGTAAGAGGGTGAACCTGACCCACTGGGCTTCCCCACTAAGAAGGGACAGTCCATTAGCAGATGGCTGTTTGGAAGCAGAGAGAGTGGGTCACAGGGAAAGCCCTAATTTGCAGGCAACCTGCCAGGTGGAAGGGGGTGGGGAAGGATGCTCTCACCTATGACTATGCATGCTCCAGGGGCCTCCATGCTGAGACCAATCTCCCCAGCAGCCGGCCCCAGTCTCCCCACCTGACTTCTCTACTAGGGAGTTATGGAAAGCCATCTGCCTTCCTTAAGCTCTCCTAGTGCACAGGCACCCAGACACAAACACTGTCCCAGGCCGCACAGTGCTCTAACACACACATACCACCACATGTGCAAGAGCTACCACACGCACACACACATGAAGGAGGGCAGCTGACACCACAGCGACACACTCACCAGTGGGCCAAGCCGCCACCACGCAGCCGCAGGGACCTTAACACACTCCTTGGACTCCCACGCTGACCCGTTTGGAAGCACAGGAGGCCCCCCCACCCCCACCCCCGAGGATGCACCCTTGCAGCAGCCATGCCCGCGTGCCCACCGACCGGACATCCGAACCATTAACCGCAGTCAGAGAAGCTCACGGGCCTGGGGAGCTCCCGGCTGAACAGTCACCTTCCTGGCTGGGTAGGTGCGTGCGCTGCCCATGGCTTTCCATTGCCCACCCATAGCTTTCCACTTTTCTCCCGGGGCCCATGCAACACCCCCAAACTCCCTGATAAAAAAGCCAACATGGGGGCGGCTACTTACTATTCCCTGAGCCTGCTGCAAGGCGGCGAGGCCTGTGTGGGAACCAGGGAACAGGGTCCCTGGCAAGGGGGTCCCTGTTGGTGGTGGTATAGGACCTAAACATTCAGTGAAGACAGCAGGTTAGCCTGAGCACAGCCATCTTAAGAAACCCAGAGGCCATTTTCTGAATATGTTCAGAAAGCCCTTGAAAAACAAGGGGAAAAACAAGTTAATCATGAACACCAGGTGGTGGGCAGCTACGGCCTTCAGACAGCTAACCTTGGTCAGTTAGTCATACATACCAAGTTTATCTTGCTGAAACACTGTATGGCTGAGGGTGTTCTTATCTCGTGAAACCCCCGGGGATGTGGCGCCAACCGAAGATTTATGCGTCCTTGGAAAAAAAACCCTGTTACGTGCTTGTAGAACAATACTGTCTTTTTAGAAAATGCTATAAAAACCTCCGGCTTTGACTGCTTGGGGTCCTTGTTGAGACCCGCTGCGTCGGGCTAACACTTGGACCCCAGCTAGCTGGTTCCTGAATAAATTCCTCTTGCTTGTTGCATCAAGAGACGCCTTTTGTGAGTGATTTGGGGCGGTGTCCTCCTCTGGGAGAATCCAACAGTGGTACGAGTCTGAGGGCATCTGGCAGCGGAGGGCCATGAGTGTCGTCGGCGAAGGCAGCGACTTCGGCGTTGGCGGAAGAAGGCATTGGAGGGCAGTGGTGGCGGCAGGCATCGGGCAGGTGTCAGCAGGAGGCATCAGCGGGCAGGGACGGGAGAGAGGTGGGCTCAAGAACGAGTGGCTGCGCTTTGGAGGAGGAAAGCAGCGTCAGAGGCCTTTGGCTTTGCTTGGTGGGGTGAACATGCTGGGCGTCGGCTGTGGGCAGACTCCGTCCCTTGACGCTGCTGCCCCTCCACTCCTGGAACTGACACCAACCTACATAGCTAGCCGCTGCCAACTGTTGCTCACCACATCCAGTTGCCGCCCCCAACCGACGCCATCGCCAGCCATGGACGCTGCCCTCCCACTAACAATGCCGCCACCGCCTTTCCCTAGCCTCTGGCTGCACACCTGCCGACAGCAGCTTCAGAGGTCCGCCTTGGGCACAGACACCCGCGCCTCATGCCGCTGCGGACACCACGGCCCATCATGGAGCGCAGCCTGGCCACGCTGCTGCCCACTTCAGACCCCGCTCCCCACAGACCCCGCTCCCCGCCGCCCTCCACTGCCTCTGCCGCCTCTCACGGTGCACCTGCAGACGGTGGGTTGGACTCCGCACCCGGCCACAGACCCCGCCGCCGAGGCGCCCCAGCCGCAGCTCCCCGCAGTAGACTCCTTCCCTGCCCGATCCCTCCCCGAGCCAACGCCACCTGCCCCCTGGGGGGTGCCTGCTTACGGTGAGCTGCTCCTGAGAGGACAGGCCTGTGAGAGGAAGAGGGCGCAGGGCCCCTGGCGAGGTGAGCCCCTGGAGCCGGCCGCTGTTGGAGAGCTCGGGCAAGCAGCACAGGGCTTTGGCGGGCAACGGCGACATCAGCACGAGGAGGCTTTGGCGGCGGCGGGGCAGCAGCCAGCGGGGACGGTGTGAGCGGGAGGCACAGGCACCGAAGTATGCGGCGCTGGCCCGCGGGACAAGCGTGCGCAGCGTTGGTTGCGGGCGAACCCCGCCCCCCTCCCGCGCTGCCCCCAACCCCCCAACGACGGAGCACGCGCACATCAATACCACACTCCCTTTTCTGTGCAGCATCCATGTAAAATAAAAGACGGTAATCACAGAACCCAAGAATGAAATAACACTTGCCAAAGGGAAAGGGACTGGGGAGGATGGGTGGGAAGCGAGGGATAAAGGGTATTACTGTTAGCAGACAAAATGTAGGTGGGGCGCGGGGAGGGTTGTGCAACACAGAGAAGACAAGTGGTGATTTTACAGCATCTTACTATGCTGATGGGACAGTGACCAATGAGGTATGTGGTTGGGGGGAGGCTTGGTGAAGGGGTGAGTCTAGTAAACATAATGTTCCTCATGTAACTATAGATTAATGATACATACATACATAAAGACTGTAGTATGAAAACTGGTTTTGCACACAGGAGGTGGCTCAGTCCTGGGACTGACACACACGCAGGTTGCCCTAGCAGGAGGCACCTGTAAAGACAGCACCCGGCCTTCCAAACCCTGATGCGCGACCCCTCTGAGCGCTGCTCAGCCCCCACCCCACTTACCCACCTACCCCACCTCCTCCACCCCTCCGGACGGTTCTCCCAAGGTGGGCTGAGGTATTGTCTGTTTGCTAAAGAGTAAGTTAAGAATCTTACTTCCTAACGTCCTGGGTGTTAAAATGCAATCTTATCTTTAAGATGGGATCCTTCCTTCCTTTTACTATATTGTTCGTGGCTGGGCTCACTTGCCATATTAATTGCCCAGGTTATACATTACTTGATTAGGGGCTGGAGGAGGAAAAGCAGCATCTGGTCAAACTTAAAGATAAACTGGGCCTTTTAAGCAGGCTAAATTTTACAATAGCCTCATTTAATTGACACAACGAAGACACGGGCTCTGCTGAGGTATTTTCTTATCTGGGGGATGTTTAAACATTCCAGGCCAGGTTACTCCTGGCTTTTCTAACTAATCTTTACTGAAGAATGCTTATACTCCCACTTTGATATTCTACTTCAGAGAATTAACGGGACTATGACTTTGCTTGTTTAATACGGAGTTTTGGCAGGGGTCTTTTTCCAGAGGCCCTCACCCTACTCTGACTACAGCCACGGTCCCTGTCTCAGAATCTCTGTGGCTAGTCATAAATTACTCAGCTGAGGATTACAAACCGAAAAGACAGAAAGATGAATTTCTAAATACAAGAAAATGCACTGTCAGTTCCCAGATCAAAGTAAAGAAACTTCATTCCCAAGTAAAAAATACGAGAAGTACCTCATGAAAAAAATATTTGATTTCAAAGGCGCTGCCTCCTGGCGGCCTCGGGGTACCCCCTCCGCCTCGCCGCGGGTCACACTTGAACTGAATTCAGCTCGGCCGGCCCTCGCCCTCGAGGCCACCGCAGAAAAAAAATACACGTACGGCACAACGCCCACCGGCCCCTCCGCCTGCGGCCCCGGCCAGAGCGGCGGCGGTAGCAGGTCGGCGGCGCGGCCCCGGGCCAGCAGGACGCACGCCGCGGGGCGGAGAGCAACCGCCCTCACCACCCGGGCCCGGACGGAGGAGCCGTGGCTCCGGCGGGCCCCTCCCCCCTGCCCCGGGGAACTTCGCCGGCCGTTCGGACACCTGCCCCGGGCGCACCTGCTCGGCTCCCTCCCTTTCCGGGCGGCCCCTCAGGCTCCGCCGACTCCCGGCCCCGGGCCGGGCCCCGCGAACCCACCACCCGCGTCGGCCGCTTCCCGACCCCACGAGCCACGCGCTGCCCGCCGAGCCACTGGCACGGCCGCCCCCTCGTCCGGCCGCCCCGCGCCCTCAGGCAGGGGCAGGGGTCCCCGCGCCCGGTCCGGGTCCCGCCGCGCCCCGCGGCCACGTACCTTCCAGCCCGCAGAGCCGTCGCTGTCGCCTTCAGCCCTGAAGCGGGGCCCGCTCTGGACCCTCCACCGCAGATCTGCGGGAGCGGGAGCCGCTTCTCGGCCGAGGTCTCGTAAGTCCGGCCGGGCCAGCGGCTCCAAGTCCGCGCCTATCGCCGCCCGCCGCCCTCCGCGGGAGAGCCGAAAATGGGCGAGTGCGGCGCCGGGAGCCCAGCGGGCGCCAAGAGGCAATCCGAGGCCGGGGGACGAGGTCGGTGCCGCCCCCACATACGCGCCGGGAGGACGGCGCAGCTAAGCAAGCGCGGGCCCAGAACTTCACGGTTCATCAACATTTGTTCTCCGCGGGGTCCCCTGAGCGGATAGGACTGCGGGCCAGACGCGCCCGGACAACCGAAGCACGAAGGGGGCCGCTAGCGTTGTCTTCCCAGGAGGCGCTCGCGATGCTACTGACTTGAATATGGCGGGCGGCGGCGCCTGCTGCTAATACGCAGCCGCCCAACTTACGTAAACTGCGCGCGCGCCCAATGGCTGTCCGCCCCCGACTGAGAGCCCTCGTGGCCAATGAGCGTGCGGCGACGCGGCGCAGAACAGGTAAGTCCGGCGGGTGCGTAGTAGCTGCAGGCGCCACCACCGCCTTATTCAACAGCCAATAGGAACGCGAGCGCCGCCGGGAGAGCCAGTACCCGTGGCGCCCTCCGTGCTTTGGTCCGTCGACCCTGTCCGAGCTCTTTCGCCCTGCCGTCCCATCCGCGCTGCGGCTCCGGCGGAAACCAGCTGTTGATAGACCCGCTAAGTTCTGGGCCCGCGCTGTGCTTGGCTACTCCGAACTCCAGGGCATGTTTTTGTTGTTTGCCTGTTTATTTACTGAGTGTCTTGGTTGGACACTTAGTGAAGTCTACTTTCTCTGCAGTGTTAAGCCTCTAATGTAGAGCGCACAGCACTGCGCATGTACATGGTCACCCTGGGATGATAGTTTTATCTGGGCTCTGTCTGACTGCCGTTCTCCCTGATCGCGCAGTTCAGTTATGTGCCCCTGTTGGCATCATATCCAGCTGTTAAATGCTTGGGAAGAGGATTATCCAATTGTCTTTTTACCATAAAACTTGAATATTAAAAAAAAACAACAGTTACACTGGCTTCTGTGGATTAATTCTATCATTAAATAAAATTTTAGATTGACTCAGTATTTCATAGCATAATTTTGCATTGATGTAGGTCAAATCATATTGCTTAAAGAATTTGTACACAAAGAATTAAATCACGTATGAGATACATGTAAATCCCATGCTTACAGGTTTATAGATTCCATCACGGCATTAACAATTGTAGATATTTTCACACATTTCCTACGTTCTATTAAAATAAACAATTTAAAGAAAAATGCTAATTTTTCCTGAGAATTATTAAAGTGCCTGCTTTTCTATTATGATTTATTTCTTGTTCACTTCTAAAATGATTTATGAAATTATTTTAAATGGTGAATGCTAAGATATTTAAATTTTCTTAAATAACCACACAAGCAATTAAGAGCTGGCTTCTGGTTGTTAGTCTGAGTTGAAGCTAACAAAGTTATAAAATATTAACATATCTGGAAGAAGAGTTGCTTGATTTAATCTTTATATGAAAATGTCTGTGATCCTAGAGGTTGTCATGTGAAAATTAAGGTGCATAGAATTTAGAACCTTATGAACACTCTAATCTAGCCCAGGCCCCAGATGATGCACATTAACATCTGTGACAGCTAACCCTCAGGAGCCCTTTTGCATTCTAACAAACTCCGACCAACCCTCAGACCCATTTCATGTGCGGAAAGTTGTTTCTCCTATTGAGCAAAATGCTCTCTTCTGATATCTTTCATTGACTAGCACGAGGCCTGTCTTCTCATAAAATCCAGATCAACTATTTTCTCATATTCTAAAGAAGAACATTGACGTAGGACTGAAAAATGTAATTGTATGAGATTCACAAATAAGCCCACTTATGAGGAAACATACCAGTTAGTAGGCTCTTGGCCACAATAAATAGCATATGGGACATAATGTGGCTTAAACAGTGGGGTTTATTAATAAATCTCATTTTTTGAGAACTCTGGAGGTAGGTAATTGCAGAGACAGTTAAAACAGCAGCTTTGGAGCAGCTTCTGTCCTTGTGAATATGTATGCACAAGTATTACATCCTTACTAAATGTAAGCTAAAAGGCAGGGAATGGAGGGAACTTCCTTTGTATCCAGAACCTTTTATCCCGTTAAGACACAGAAGAAGATTCCTCTTTTGTGTCAATGGCCAGGACTGGGTCACCTGCCACCTCTAAACTCACTGATAAAGGTAAATGAGGTTATCATGATGGAGTAGGAGTTAAGCCAATCAATACTCATGGGGAATCAGGCACAATGTCTCTTACCTAGACAAAATTGGGATTCTACCCCCAAGAACAAGAGCAGAATGGCTGTTGGGTAGTTAGCTCACAGACTCTACCAAAATATCTTAATCCAAATTTGAAAATCAAGTACTATAATAAGTTGATCTTTTTTTCCTAATATATCCTATGACAAAGTATGCTTTTACAAGATTTGAGATATACTTCATACACATAAAATTCACCCACTTAAAGTGTACAGTGGTTTTTAGTGTATTCACAGCCATGCAAACATCACAGCTTAATGTAAAACATTTCCATCACCCTAAAAACAAACCCCATACATATTAGCAGTAATTCCCCACTCTATCCCTGCCTCAGCACTGGGCAACCCCTACCTACTTTCTGTTTCTATAAATTTGTCAATTCTGGACATTTCACATAAATGAAATCATATAATTTGTCATCGTGTGTGACAGACTTCTTTCACTTAGCATAA